GAACTATGAACATGTATTTACAGGCAGAACTTATTCCTGACATCTCTGATTTTTGTATCCCTATTCTTTCCCCGAGTCTTATTGCAAAAAAAAAAAAAGTAGTTCCAATGAATGTCTTGTTATTCACTGTCTGCAAAGATAATAAAGATGTTCTCTAGCTGAAAACAGAAAGCAGGGCCTCCTATGATCGTGGGGAAAGGAAGAGAGCAGCATTGTGAGGAGAACCATCTATTTTTATTAAAGGTGTTTGTTCATGCAGCTTTTGTCAGGAAATCCAAATAATTTGCTCCCACTTGCTTTCAGTTTGAAAAAATGGCAGCCTTGTGTTACAAGAAAGGAGAAACAGCCTTGTTTCTCTCCAGTGCTTCTTTTATAGGAAGGAGACAGACACACTGTAGCTGTCCACAGTTCCTGCATTTAAAGCTAGAAACTGGCATGTCCTGCCAAAAGAAATTAAACGTAATGAAAATGTGTTTCTGGTCAAAGTCAGAGACTGCATTTGCTGTATCACAGTATATGCGTCCTGAGGGCTACACGACTTTCTCCTTTCAGCAGTACTGGGGGTATTTAAGCATTCTTGGGACTGATTTTCCATTGCTTTGACCCTCGGCTAAGTAACTGTACCTGCTGCTACGCAGGTGTGAGTGCTGGCCTCGCCAAATGGGGAATTTCTGAGTAACGAGCATTTTGCATTCACAAGGCACAGATATAAATATCTATTTTAAATCAGGTCTGCTGACTTCAGTACAGAAGGCATTCTTGACTCATATACATTCAAAAGACAAGAAGACCTTAAAGCGTCTCCAGCTGGATGATGCACCTTCCCCCTACTCCACACAACACTGTCTTTCACGTTTGGGTACTGTAGGACACCGAATCTGTTGGCAGGCCTTCCCAGAGCATGTGTCTGTAATCACTGATAAGGGGAGTGCACCATCAATATGCATTAGTCTTTCCTGCCAACTGATTAGTTTCAATCAGGGTCCAGTAAAAGCAATCCACTGGCTTGAAAGAGAATGACTTCATCCAGTGCCTCTCTCTGCTTTAGCTGTTTTCAACCAAAATCCCCTCTGAAGACAAATCTAGATTTTTTTCATAGGTTTGTTCCCCCACCACCACTTACATTTTGCTTTAACAGAGATGAGGTGATATAAGCAGCAGCTTTTCTCTAAGGAAAAAAAAAAAAAAAAAAAAAGAACTAAAATCCATACTATTTAGATCCATTCTGATCTTTGGACTTCAGAGAGGCAAAGTCCACTGCTGGCCTAAAGGGGGGTTATGAAGGTGCTCTAAAACTACTTCATGTCACTATATTCTCCAGTCACAGACCTGCCAGACCACTGAACAGTCTCAAACATAAACTAAAGCCATCTTTCAGCTGCTCTGCTTTGTCTTGCTCTGCCAGATCCATGCTGTATTCCAGCCATTGGGAAATACAAATTTTCTTTTCTCCTTGACTGGCACTGGGGGAAGAAGGGGGCCCTGTCTTCAGCA